CGATAAATTAAAAGGGTGTTTTAATTTATCAATTTTGATTAGATCAAAATAATATTTCACGTCGTTAGGCATCGTGGTCGGGAACCTAATGGGTCACACACAAAAGAGAATTGGAAGATTGCAAATTGCCAATTAGTTAATTTAACAATCGTTGGATAAATTAATTAATTGGATTTGTTATTTATATTTTCGAATTAATTAATTGGATTAGTTGATTCACGGACCGGGTTTAATTAATTGGATTAATTAATTATTGGACCGGACCGGGCCGAGCCTATTTGGGTTTATATAAATATATAACTAGGGTTTGAGGTCCATTAAGGTTTTCATTATTCTTGCTAGCACAAGAGAAAACCCTAGAGGCTGCAATCATGTTCTCTGTGTGGATCACCGTTGGAGGCTGAACAATTGGACAGCTGTGGTGGCGAATCAAAGTTGTGGAACGAAAAGAAAAGCAAAAGGATTGCAGATCTGGAAAAGGTACAATCTTATCACAATTCCTAACCAAACACAATGAGATCTATTGGATGGGAATCGAAATAATTTAATTTTCCGCTGTGCATGTATAAGTAGATTCCCAACAGATGAGCACCACTGAAGATAGAAGCCCAACTCTTAAACCATAAATTACGTTTTCACTTATCTTGCTGGAAGCTTTTATTTCGTGTGCATATATATACACACACACTTGTATCAAACTCCTCATTACAAGCCCCTTACTAGTTTTCATTACACATCTCAAATTGTCCATGGGACAGAATGTGATATTTACGTTGCTGGCAATGCTTTGCTTGCATATCAACTTTGTTGCATCTCTAAAAAGCTCCGTAGATGAATATGCTCTTTTAGCCTTCAAATCTCAAATAACTTCTGATCCAAATAATATCTTGGCTAAAAATTGGTCACAAGGAACGTCGTTCTGTAACTGGGTTGGCATTACTTGTGGCAGTCGACATCAAAGAGTTAGGGAGTTGAATCTAGCAGATATGGGTGTAGGAGGTACTATTGCCAAAAAAATCGGTGAACTTTCTTTTTTGAGATCCTTGATTATTAGCAACAATAATTTTCATGGATTTATCCCTGACGAAATTGGTAATTTAAGTCAGCTTCAAGAAATACAGATGCATAACAATGAGCTAAATGGTCCTATTCCAGCAAGTATTGGATTTCTTGAAAATTTACAGGAGTTAATTCTCTCCAATAACAAACTCTATGGGGAAGTTCCTAATAGGATTTTCAACCTCTCTCTTTTGATGATAATTGATTTACAAAACAATAGTCTCTCAGGAAGTCTTCCTCCAGATGTCTGCAATAATCTACCAAATATGGAGAGGCTAAGAATTTCTCTTAATCAAATAAGTGGTAACATTCCTCCAAGCTTGGGAACATGCAGGAAGCTTCAACTACTATCTCTGGCGCACAATAATTTTTCTGGAAGCATTTCCATGGAAATCGGAAACTTGTCAAAGATTCAAACTCTCTATCTAGGACGGAATAATTTGATAGGTATGTTTAAAGTGGTTTTCATATACATAAATCACCCTAAACACTAGATAGTGTTTTCCAAAAAAATGTGAAATTGAACAATATTGTCAATCATTCACATCATAGATATTTCATTCATTCATAGTGACCTGTATATTATTGTCTATTGAATACGTCCTTTTACATAGCTACACTAAAAATTAAGTATGTACTTACCCCACAAAACCTCAATTGTGCATTTTGAAACTGGGAACCTATTTTGGCCTATAAATTATTCATGCAAAAGCATGTAGAAACATTGACCTACAAACCTGTCTTTAATTCCTACCTAAAAAATTGAAGTCGTCATCACACCCTTTTTAAACAAAAAAAATGATATAATATTCAATATGGCTTGACGGCAGAATGAATAAAATTAGCTTTGACAAGTAATAAACATGTATAGCATTTTCCAGATGATAAAATGCATCGTAATAACAACAAATAATAAGTACCCCGATCAGCAAGGGATGAAGATGGATACCGCTAGAGGCTACATCCCCATTTTAATAATTAGTCAGTATTTTATAATTCATTATTAATTGGATTTAGTTTACTTTTAATTTGTTAGATTGAGGACCTTGAAGCAATTTCAGTTAAGATTAATGATTATGGGTTTCTTTGTTAGCTGCAAAGATAAGCTTTGTACACTGGAATACTTTGATTAGAAAATTATGAAGTAATAAGAGTTTTTCTTCTAAAATTTCCACTTAAATTGGTATTAGGCGGAATCAAAGATTTTTCATCTAAACCAACTATTCAATATGCGGTCGTAAATCAACGAATTATTAATTTTTTAAAATTCACATATTGTATGAATTGATGTGTTTTTAGGTTCATTCTTTGTTCCTTTTGCACTGCATTAGCTTGTTTATTTAATAGTTTAATATTCCAAAAAAGTGATACATCAATCATTTGTCATTCAGGGCAGCAGATAAGACATCTAAAATATCAAAAAAATAAAAATGAAAAATCATTCATTTGTCATTCTATAATCATTCTTATTTTAATAATAGAATTTAGAGCCACCAATATTGGAATTTAAAACCTTTATATTTTAAATAAAATTAACTAATTCCAGTATTATTAGTTGATAATAACTTTTTGAAAATTTAAATATTTGGCTTTTGGCTTTCAATTTTTATATCCTAAAATGTATTCACTGAAGCATTCCATACGAAATTGAAAATACATCGGTACTTCAATACTTATATTTGGATTCAAATATTTTAACATGTACCTATCTATGTACATATTAGTACTTTTTTGGATTCATTAATATGAGTGCATTGACACTTTACAGGTAAAATCCCGCATTCAATCGGCAGTTTATCAAATTTGAAGGAATTGACTATTCATAATAATAGTCTTCAGGGTCAAATACCAGATTCCATCAGTAATCTCTCTATGTTACAAATACTCGATCTTAGTTACAACAGTATTTGTGGAAGTCTTCCATCATCAATAACCAATGGGCTCCCTGAACTACAAGGTCTCTATCTTTCTTGGAATGAATTGAGTGGAGAAATTCCTGCCTCTATTTCAAATTTTCCTAAGCTCACTCTATTGGAATTAAGTCACAACTCTTTCAGTGGTATGTAACTAGATCTCCTAAACTTATTTTATAGAGTAAATTTGTTTCAGTTTGTTACATAGTGTCTTAACAAAGTTTATACCAAAACTCTAAATTTAAAACGGTCATAAATAAAAATTATTTATGCTGATGGAAAATCTAAACGAACTTTAGGTTACCACCTAGGCATTTTACACTCTTTTGACAAATCTTTTTCCAGTATGTATGTAGTTTTCATAATAATTATGAGAAGTAAATCGTGCAAAAATAACTTCTTATATACTTAATCATCGACACCAAATTAGTTGGAACTTCTTCTCTTTAATTAGATATATTTTGTGTTAATTTAATATTTGATGTTTTAAGTTCTACTTGTTTGGATTGACACGTAATATTCCAAATGAAATTGGAAACCTATCATAACTTTTATATGTAGATTTGAGGTGCAATCATTTTAACAATGAGTAATTTTATCTCCTAAACTTATTTTATATATTGAATTCAATGTTCTAAAATGGATTAAGTGTATCTAGACACCAAGGCCAAACTTCAAACTTTTTCTAAGATTTATACCAAAATTTTAAATTTTAAATTGTCATATATAAAAAAGATTTTTATTGCTGATGGAAATTAGAAATGAACTTTAGTTTGCCACCTATGTGTTTTGCACTTCTGAAAAATGTTTTCCAGCATGTATGATGTTTTTCAACTAATTATTAGAAATACATTCTAACATCATATCCTACATACCCAATTATCTTGGGATGAACATGGATACCACTAGAGGCTACCCTAATTATAATATTTAGTCAATATTTTAAAATCTTTTCATTATTATTTGGATTAGTTTGCTCTATTTGTTAGTTTGAGTACCTAGGATGCAATTTCAGTTAAGCTTAATGATTAGGTGTATCTTTGATAGCTGCAAAGATGAGCTTTATGCTGTGGAGCATTTTGATTAAATCAATATAAAAGTCATGAGAGTTTCTCTTTTACAATTTTTGACCGCAAATGCTTTGTGTTGAATTAACGATTTGTCAACTAAGATTAATTATTCCATATTCTATTTGGAATTATTGATTTCCTAAATTCGGAAGCATTTTAAGAATTAATGTGGTTTTAAGTTTATTCTTTATTCTAGTATAATTTTCCTCTTGCTCTGCATCACCTTGTTTACGAAACAATTTAATATTTTAAATTAATTTGTACATTTATCATAATAAAATCAATCTTATTTTAATAATTTGCACTTGAATTTAATTATTTTCAATTAAATTTAACTCTACAATTTCAGTATTATTATTTGATAATAACTTTTTGAAATTTAAAGTATTTGACTCGTAAAAATGTATTCAAAGGGCATGTTTGGCTCCATCCAATTCAATTGCTGGTTTTGTTCACTCTGATTTGGGAGTAAATTTCAGTTAGTAATTATTAAGAGGGATTGCTATGTGTCTGTTTTATGTGATTTTAAGGAACTTTTTGGAGATTCACTTTCAACCATCTTCAAAATCTCCTCTACTATCATCATCCATTGGGATAACATTTTTTAATGAAAATTTGCTAAAGATCCATGCAACCGAACTAAGATGTTTGAGTTCTTATAACTTGGAGACATCAAGTTTCGTGGAGAGATACTTCCATTTCTATTGCATTGCCATGAACTTCAAACTATTAGCATTATTGATAATGAATTAAGAAGTATTTAATTATCAACTTCCAAATGAAATTGTAGTCTTATCAGCACTTCAAGAATTAGGTTTGATATAACAATGACTTCACAAATATTTAATTATCGACTTCTTATTAGTTGGTACTTCTTTTCTTTCATGAGATCTATTTCATATGAATTTAAATGTGATATTTGAAACCTATATGCTTAAATGGTTGACAGGAACTATTCCAAATGAAATTGGAAACCTATCAGCACTTGAATATTTAGATTTATCATACAACGGTTTCAGTGGTACGTTACAAGATCTCCTAAACTTATTTTATATATTAAATCTATTTCAATTCTTATATGTGAATTAACTCATGTTGATACCAAAACTCTAAATTTAAATGGTCTCATGTAAAGATTTTTATGATGATAGAAACCTAAATGAACTTTAGGTTACCACGTCTAGACATTTTACACTCTTTTGACAAATGTTTTTCAGCAAGTATGGTGTTCTTCAAATAATTATTAGAAATACATCATAATTATCATATCCTACGTACTCAATCAGCTTGGGATGAAGATGGACACCACTAGACGCTACCCTCATTATAATATTTAGTCAATATTTTAAAATCTTTTCATTATTAGTTGGATTAGTTTTTTTTTTTTTTTTTTTTTAAATTGTTAGTCTGAAGACCTAGAGTGCAATTTTAATTAAGCTTAATGATTAGGTGTATCTTTGTTAGCTGCAAAGATATCATTTGTACTGTGAAGTATTTTGATTAAAACATTATAAAAATTGTGAGAGTTTTTCTTTTACAAATTTTTGACCTCAAATGTTTTGTGTGAAAGGATTGATTTGTTGACTTAGATCAATTATTCAGTATCTGATTACGATTCAATGAATTATTGATCTTATAAATTCACATGCATAGAATTATTGTTGTTTTTGTTTATTCTTTGTTTTCGTATATTGTACCTTTTACACAGTATCACCTTGTTTACTAAGTAATTTAGCACTCTAAATTAATTTATACATTGCCATTCTAAATTCATTTTTATTTTAATAAAATATATTCTAGCCACCATATTTGATTTTAATATTTTTGCATTTAATTAAATTTAACACTTTACAATTTCAATATTATTGTTTGATAATAATTTTTTGAAATTTTTAACATTCGAATTTTGGATTTTAATTTTTAATACCATAAAATGTATTCACAGGAACCAGTCCATATGAAATTGGAAACTCATCGGCAATTCAATATTTTTATTTAGATTCAAATACCTTAACAGGTAACGATCCACTACTTATTAACTTTTGGTATTCGTTAATTTGATTGTGTTCACAAAAGCCACAATGCAGGTACAATTCCGCATTCAATTGGCAGTTTATCAAATTTGAAGGAATTTATTTTGTTCAATAACAGTTTTCATGGACAAATACCTGAATCCATCTTCAATCTCTCCATGTTACAAATACTTGATTTCGGTATCAATAGTATATCCGGCAATCTTCCATCATCAATTGCCAATGGGCTCCCACATCTCGAAGAACTCTATCTAGATAACAATAGATTGAGTGGAGAAATTCCTTCCTATTTTTCAAATTTTTCTAAGCTTACTATCTTGGATCTTGGTTTCAGCTCCTTCAGTGGACAAGTACCCATGAATCTCGGGAATTTACAGAACCTACAGAAGCTAGGACTTGAAAATAATGAGTTGACAAATGATCCTTCATTGCTCGAATTGGATTTTCTTACTTCATTGAAAAATTGTAGGAATTTGAAGATCATAAGGATGGAATTCAATTCTTTTCATGGAATACTACCAAAATCCATGGGTAATTGGTCAACATCTGTTGAATCTTTCACTGCCGATTATTGTGGTATTAAAGGTATCATTCCTAATGAAATTGGTAACATGAGCAACTTGATCAAGTTAGACATTGGAGGCAATGAATTGACAGGAACAGTCCCTGGCACATTGGGTCAATTAAGAAAATTGCAATACCTGGGACTTCGTTTCAATAAACTAGGGGGGTCGGTACCTCTCAACCTTTGCAATTTAGTAAATCTGTATTATCTAGGTTTGAGCAATAACAGGCTTTCTCAACAGATACCAACTTGTTTAGGAAATCTTACCTCTTTACGAGAAATTTATTTAGATCACAACTTATTGACTTCCACTATCCCAGCCACACTTTGGACTAACAAGGATATTCAGATTTTGAGTTTAGCTTATAATTTGCTGAATGGGTCATTGGCTTCAGAAATTGGAAACATTGTGAGCATCAGAGAGTTATATTTATCAGGAAATCAGTTTTCAGGCGATATTCCAAGCTCCCTTGAGCAACTTCAGAATTTGGAAAGACTAACATTATCGAGCAATCAGTTACGTGGTCATATACCTGAGTCGTTTGGGAATCTGATTTCATTGCAAATTTTGGATCTATCCAAGAACAAACTCTATGGTGTAATTCCCAAGTCATTGGAGGGTCTTGAGTACCTTGAGTATTTCAATGTTTCGTTCAATGAACTCAGTGGTGAAATTCCAAATGGAGGGCCTTTTAAGAATTTCACGTCAGAATTTTTTGTAGGCAATAGAGAATTGTGTGGAGCATCTCAATTTAAGGTCAAGACATGCAAAGATAATACAACTAGATTGTCAAGCAATACCAGAGTATTGAAGTACATTTTACTGTCAGTTGCTGTTGTATTGAGTCTGGCCATTATTGTGGTTTATGTAATAAGACGCGGTAGCAGAAATGCAGTTCCACCAGCTCACTCTACTTCCCCCATCACCGTCAAGAGGATTTCATATTATGAAGTTCTAAATGCTACAGATAATTTTGGTGAAGGGAATCTGATTGGAGAAGGCAGTATTGGTTTAGTGTACAAAGGAATATTTTCAGATGGAATGATTGCTGCAATTAAGGTTTTTAATCTAGATTTGGAAGGTGCAAACCAATGTTTTGATACTGAGTGCCAAATATTGTGCAACATTCGTCACAGAAATCTTGTCAAGATAATTACTAGTTGCTCTAACCTTGATTTCAAAGCCTTGGTGCTGGAATATATGCCTAATGGAAACCTCACAAAATGGCTATCCTCGAGCAATTGTTTCCTAAATATGTCTCAAAGATTGGAAATAATGATAGATGTGGCATCCGCACTCGAGTATCTACATCATGGGTGTCCCTTTCCGATTGTTCATTGTGATTTGAAGCCCAACAACATACTTTTAGATGAAGATATGGTTGCCCATGTTGGAGACTTTGGCATTTCCAAGCTTTTAACTGAAGACCAAAGAATTTCAATTACCAAGACGTTGGGGACCATTGGATATATGGCTCCAGGTAAATGATTTGTTCAACCGCTTATATATATTGCTAAACGCTATACACTGTGTTGAATTACTATTAAAAATAATTATGGCCCGTGAATTGATAATCATGACATACATAGTAAAAAGATTGTAATTGGACTAATGCACACAACTAACCATTGGTTTAATACACATGTATACCCATGAATTATGTGAAAAATAATCGTTGGTCCATTGGTGAAAAAAGATAATCACGACTAGAAAGAAAACTCTATGCATGCACATAAAAAATATTACTATATTTTGGAGGGGAATCATAGTGACAATGTATTGTAAAATAGAGAGAACAGGAAAAGAATGTAAAGAAGTCAATAGACTTTTGTGTGTTTTATTGAGAACCGAAATTCTCATATTTATAGGAAATAATTAGGTCCGCAAGAGATACAGTAGTCATAATTAACATGCAGGGGTATAATGTTCATTTACCAATAAACATATAATTTACAACATATATGTAAGTAGGGTAATTATATTTCCACAACAACTTTTATTATTTACACCATATTCTAATTTTACTTAAGGTCCTTAATCTTTGCTTAATATAGCATTTATTCTCTATTTTTTTCAACGAATTTTTATCCCCAACATTTCATTAATTAGTCCACATTATCTCTGATAGCGGTTTTCATCCAAAAATTCTTCAAGAGGAAGTAAGACAACTTACTTATCCATTATATTGTTTTTATAAAAATAAATGCAAATGTGTGATATCATACACTTTTCCTCATTTCAAAAGCATGCAAACATATATTTTAACATCATCAAGGACAAGATGTGTTGCGAGGTGATGGATATTGAAGATAAGAATTGGACGAAAAAAGTTAAGAATATAAATGTTATAATGAGAAAATATTGAGGACCTTTACTCCAATTAAAATGTGGAGTTAGAAGAAAAAATTTGGTGTGAATATAATTAGCCATGTTATTAACCATTATTTTGCTTGCTAACAATATATTAGTGTATTAGTATTGGTTCTCATTTATTTATTTGTCATTTAACATTTCACCTGTTAATTTGATCACATATGCCAATTTTGTAGAGTATGGATCTATAGGATTAATATCAACTATGGCTGATGTTTATAGCTATGGGATTATGCTGATGGAGACATTTACCAAAAAGAAGCCTACATATGATATGTTTGTTGGTGAGTTCACAATGAGGAAATGGGTGTTCGAATCATTCCCTGATGCAATAATGCAGATAGTGGATGTTGATCTAGTGAATCCAGTTGAAGACAATATTCCAGTCAAAGAGATCTGCTTTAGATCAATCATGGGACTAGCCCTAGAATGCACGGCTAACTGGCCCAATGAGAGGCTCAATATGAAAGATGTTCTAACAAGGCTCAAGAAGATCAAAACTGAATTTTGTAAACCATAATACTGAGGTGGATTAAGATGAAGAGGTTTGTTTCTTAATTAAATTTGCTTTTTCCATCTCGTAAGAACACAAAACGGTAAACATTTGAGCTAAAATTTTATTAATGAAATCAAAACCAATTTTTAGTTTTAGTTGTCGTAGAATCCAGTCGTCATATTGACTACTCTTTAAAACGTACTTCAATCCTCTCTCATAAGCTTATTATATCTTTCTATTACAGAAAAACTTGGAAATCATTTTTGGCTTCCGCCATTGTTTTACGGCATGTTATTACTGTGAGTTGCTGCTGTGTAAGAATATCATGATATCAGTACACGGGTATACTGATGAGATGATAAGTAGATGTAGCATTTTCTTTTAATTCTAAATTATAATTTTAGTAAAGTTGCAATGTCCTGTTTGGTTTTGTTTCTGATGACATTCGTTGTTTCTCTGTTGACATTTTCCAATGAAAAACATTCTCTTTTCTTTGAAGGAAGGAGCAGACCATCTTGAAGAACTAAGGAGCGTTTCTGGCTGCTATGTTACTTTCAGGCTATTCTCAAACGTCAAGAGTACCTCAAGGCTTACCTTATACAGATAACAGTCATCAGTTATTTTGCAAACTCTCTTTCAGTCATTAATAAGTAATTTTTCACACATAGATGAAGAAGTGAATTGTGTTTCTGTCTATCTCTTTTCACATATGAGCAATTCCCACTGAGAGACATGTTTATAATGGCATTCTGGATGAAAACACAATGTGATTCTTGCTGGATAAAAAAGCCAATTTTCATCTTGTTCTTTATTTCTTATTTAATTTACAATTGCTTGTGAATCAAAGATCTAACAGGGCCTTAAAACAGAAAGCCAAATGCCAAAAATTGTAAACAATCAAATTTATAACAATAATCAGAAAATCATAATTTATATTAAATTATCGATGATAAATGAATTATGTTTCCTTTCATTTCTTGACTTGTGGAGGCCTCAAGCACTCCACATAGGGAGACATTCCCACCTTGAGACATGTTTATATTGGTATTTTCTGTTGGAAAATTCTACAAATCTTTAATAATTTTTTTCCATGAGCATTTTGGAATTTTCATGTTGATTTTATTATGTCTTGTAAATGAGAAACACTAGAAATTCACTAACCATAAAGATGATACTTGAATGAAATAATGAATGCATGAACAAATTGAATCACATCCTATTATTTCCTGTTGATTTGTGGGAATATCAATTAAGATAAACATTGAAGATTACTTGATTTAAAGAAAAACAAAAAATGTACAGAAAATTGAGAAAAGAGCTCCATATTCATTATCTTGTTGCTTTGTGTACAGGCATTCTTGTACAACCTTAAATTAGTAACGGCACTTCTGGCTTCTAACTGTCTGTACTTTTAAGGTCACTTTTATTACATAAGTTGGGATGTTATTGTCAACTCAAAAACAAAAACAAAAGTGTATGTCTCTGTTCTTGAGAATTTTTTCAACCTCGTTTAAATGTTTGGCTGTGTTTTAAAGTAAGAGAAATGTAACACCAAACTTGCTCTTTCTTGTAGCATTAAGAAGTAATTTTCGTGCATCAGGACTGTGAGAATATAAACAATAATGCTAAACCAAACAAATGAGATGAGAAGAACTAGAGGAGTGGATGAGAAGAACCTGATTCATAGTCTCCAAAAATTAGGGCAAAATGTAAAGTACAAGAGTTTATATAGCATAGAACAAAAGAAAGGACAAATGACTAAACTACCCTTAACTAACTAATTTATTACATAAACATCCCTCTCAAACTCACGATGCTACTACAAGAAGCAACGAGAGTTTGTCAAGTAAGAAACGAAAATGATGAATCGAGTGTGACTTTGTAAAGAAGTCAGCAAGCTGCAATGATGAAGAAACACAAGGTAGGGAGATAGTGCCAGTCTGCAGATGATGACGAACCAAATAACAATCAATCTCAATATGTTTCGTGCGCTCATGGAACACAGAGTTGTGAGAAATCTGAATAGCACTTTGATTATCACAATACATATGAGTAGGAGAGGACAAGGGAACACCCATGTCGGCAAGTAACCAACGCAACCACACAATCTCAGTGGTGGTGCATGCCATAGCTCAATACTCAGCTTCAGTAGAGGAACGGGAAACAACAGTTTGTTTCTTACTCTTCCAAGTGATAAGAGAATCACCCAAAAATATACAAAAACCAGTAGTGGACTTGCGATCAATGGGGTTACTAGCCCAATCAGCATCAGAATAGGCACGGAGCACTAAAGAGGAGGTCGATGGAAATAAAAGACTCTGAAAACAAGTACCACGAAGATAGCACAAAATACAAACAACGGCTACCTAATGAACCGTAGTAGGAGCTGAAACAATCTGACTAACAATGTGAATAGCATAAGCAATATCAGGTCGTGTGATGGTAAGATAAACTAAACATCCAACAATGGTACGACACAAAGTAGGATCAGTCAAGGGTACACCTTCAGAGGGTGAATATTGAGCATTGGACTCAAGGGGAGTATCAGCAGTTTTAGTATCAGTAAGACGAGGAAGCTCAATAACATCCATAATATACTTAGACTGAGAGAGAAGATAACCTTTAGGAGAATAAGCAAGTTCAATCCCCAAAAAAAAAAACAGCTAGTGCCACCACCGTCCACAATCAATGACAAGCACCATCCACAACAAGCACCATCCACAACAATTTCAAATGCACCTTCCACAGCAAGTACCGTCCGCAAATTCGGCCTATTTTTAGCTTGGATTTCACGACACTTCCATCAATTCTTCTGCCAAAAATCACAAATTTTTCATCACCATGTGCTCTGATACCATGTGAGAATATAAACCATAATGCTAAACCAAACAAATGAGATGAGAAGAACTAGAGGAGTGGATGAGAAGAACCCGATTCATAGTCTCCAAAAATTAGGGCAAAATGTAAAGTACAAGAGTTTATATAGCATAGAACAAAAGAAAGGACAAATGACTAAACTGCCCTTAACTAACTAATTTATTACCTAAACAAGGACCAAATGATGCTTCAACCTCTAGAGCAAATGATCCCGGAGAAATGGGAACTCTTGAGTAAGGATTTTAACCATGCAGTCTGTTTAAGAAGCCAATACTCCGTACTTCGTGACTTGGAGTATTCTCAATCACAGGAAAAACAAGACCTCGACATTTCATCTGATGAATAAGAGAATAGACAATTCTCCAATCATCATTTATATGTTCAAGAAGTCATATAGAGAGGATTGGGACATTCTCACTTGGAGAATATGCAGTCACATGAAAAATAAGATCTTGACATTTCATCTGATGAACAAGAGAGTAGACGATTAATCAATCATGATTTTTCTGTCCAAGAAGACCCTGACATTTCATTTGATGAACAATTCTCAAATCATGAATTTTCTATTCAATAAGCCCATACTGAGACAGGATCCGAACGTGATCTCTCTGATAATGTGCAATCATATGAAAAACAAGACCCCGTCATTTCATCTGATGAAAAAGAGCTTAGACAATTATCTAGTCATGATTTGTCCGTTCAAGAAGCCCATACTTAGATCGGATCAGGACAAGCTCGCTCTGAGCTAGGGCGGCCGCCCTAGCTAGATCCGCCGGACCTTCTGTGTCCACCAGGTTGGTGGCTGCGCACAGGTGCAACAGTGGCAGATTTGCAGTTGCAGAGAAGGAAGCCGAACGGAGAAGAAGACTCCCAATTTTTACTTTTTTTCATTTGGACTATCTGATTTAAGATTGGGCCTTTTTAAAAAAAAAAATGAATTAGGCCCAAATAAGGAATTGAAACCGGCAGCAAGGTCCATGGCATTGGTATTAATTTGATTTCTCAATTTCCAACCCAAATCAACCCCAAAACTCCATTTGAATCCGGCAGCCAAGTGTAAACAACAAACCCTTAAATTTCCATTCGAAGCATAGCTATAGAACAACAGAAGTAGCAGCTGGAGGCGATGGGCGGTGGACTATGTACTATTGGTGTGCGAAGTCAGGGACTCTCAGGGGCCATTCTCCGACCGACAGACTCCGAGGACTGGACTTGGACTCTTGGAGGCGACTGCTGACTGGCAAGGTGACTGGTGAGTTGAAATTTGAATAACTTGAAGTCTTGAATACTGCAATTTGCAAACTTGTGCAAACCCTTTGTTGATTTGTCAATTTGCAATTCAACAATTCAAATTGATTTGTCGTTTTGTGCTTGTGCTGTTGTGCAACTGCAATTTTCAAGCCCTGTGTTGTTTGTTGAGTGTGTCGAGAGTGACTTGAGTCTGTTGACTGACTTGAGTATTGTTTGATGTAATGAATTGATGTATTTTTGTGTAATTGTGTTATTCATCTATTGGATGTAATAGGTGACTAGACAATGGTTTATTTGGATTCAAGAGTTGGAGAGTGGATCTTAAATTAGAATCGTTTCATTAAAATCTCTAAGAATCCAAATATCAAGTTGACCAGGAAGGTGGCTGTGTGTTGTATTGTTTGAAATGACTTTCTGAGTATACAATTTCGAGGTTGTAAGTGTAATCTTATGCTACTATTCTATGTTTATGCAGTCAAAAGTTTTCATGAACTGACTTTCTGAGAATACAATTTCGAGGTTGTAAGTTTTTCTTGTATGTTGATGTATTGTATTTGTTGATTTGTGCTTGTGCAACTGCAATTTGCCGGCCCTTTGTTGTCTGTTAAAGGTGTTGAGAGTTGAGTTGAATGTGTTGAGCACTTGGATGACTTGAGTACTTGGAGTGTTGATTGACTTGAGACTTGGTGTTGAACATTTTAGTGTATTTGCATATATATTGAATAATTTTTAATATTATTTAATCAAAATTTAATACGATCGTTGATTATCGGCGATCAATGATCAATGGTCAAAGTCAAAGTCAACCGCCCTAGCTGAACGTGGAACCTAGATACGCCACTGCAACTTGTAGTGGTTGCTTAGCCACGGAGATGTACACCTGGACGGAGAAGCAATTATTTGTAAATCTGGAAAGGAGTGTATTAGATAGACCAGAATGTTCCACTGGGATTAATGATTATATTTCGTGAATGGCAGTTCAAAATTAGTTTTTTATTCATCTTATTGCAAGCAATTTTTCTTCTGTTAGAATTTACTGATTTTTCCTACTTGATCCCCTGCCCTCCCTTCGTTGCTTTCTTTTTGCACTTATTTGGCTCGTTTTGTCAGCTTTGATACACTTCCTTGGTATTAGTTCTTGAATTCCCAACTCAAGAGGTCAACCACGGAGTAGTTCAAATCCTTGAATGTTGGTTAGTGTTTTTATATGTAACTGATGTGAGATTATACCATTTAACATGTCCTAGCAAGATTGGTTCAATTTTTGTAACACCAATTTTGGAATCTCTTGTTTGAGCTTCTATTTGACGGATTTAATGGCTCGCTCGAGAATTATAAGCTCTGATCTTGGGTTTTCCTTAAAAATAGCTTAAGAAGAGTAGTCTGATTCTTATGTTATTGGTTAGAGTGTTTATATATGACTCAGGACAGCAACACTGTATCAGCTAGATTGATTTTTATAAAAACAAGAATTCCAAGATATTTTTTTTAATAAAATACCACGTCGATTTTGCCTAACAGAATCAGAAAAAAGAAGCTTCAATTTCAAAAACTTCATTTAAAAATCTCCAGCAGGTTTATGATATAACCCCTTTTCACTTCTTTAAATTACCCAAAAGTCTATTGTCAGTCAACAGATAATTGCCACCCAAACTAATTTATGCTCGTCCATCTTCCTGCAGCCGCAGATCAAAGTTCTTGATCTTCTATCCTCATTGAACTTTTGGGTTTTATCTTGGTCTTAGTAACCATTTTATTTATTTCAATGGAGGATTTATTATTTTCACTGTAGAATCTATTTTCATCCTCAAAAATTACATGGCATGCACGTGTCAAAGGGCACCCCATTGGTCGACCAGGCATCGATTAATTATTTCAATTGGGTTGCATCGAATGAATCAAGTAACCTTGTCTTGGGCTTAGGCTTGGGCCCAATCCGTTAGCACTACGGCCCATTTCCCTTCCTCTATATATAGACGAGCTCACTATTATCAATTGATTTTACATGGATCTGTAATGGAAATTCTGACCGTTACTCATAATACTATCATGAGCTCGCAACCTTTTGCGAACCTATGCCATTATTGGAAAAAATTTTGCAGCGAAGCCTATATTTGAATAAGTAACTTTAATATTTTCAAATTGTTGTCCAAAAGGAGTATGAAGGACATAAATAAATCATCGAGGGGATGCATTTAAACCCATAAAGGTGTCACATTTTAGGAGTAATCCAACTTTTGTGATTGGAGAATCAATGAATAAGGTTCAATATGGTAGGAACAGCACTCACTATGTGACTCGTAATAGTACTACATTATTCCATCTCTTTCCGCTTTTTTATTCCTATTGCTTGTAAAATCCAAGATCAAACAGCCCCTTAAAACAGAATGCCAAATGCCAAAAATTGAAAATAATCAAATTTTATTTCAATAACCAAATAAGTCAGAAAATTTTATTTAAATGATTCAGAGTATAGTCATAAATTCAGTTAATTATAGAAACAGAAACTCGAAATAAGAAGAATAATAAAATAACTTTTAATGCAATAATTCTGAAATTTAACAATAAATCTTCAATGGTTTTCACATAAAATAATACCACGTTCATTTTAGTCCCTAAATCAAGAGAAATTGGTCACGAAGACTTAGTAATTTGCCCTTTTATCTGAAAGACGTCTCAAATTTAGCAGTGATGACCGAAAACTGATCAGTTGATTAGTTTAGCTTTTTTTATTTTTTGTATCCATTATATTGACATTATGAGATTTTAGTATTATTGTTGGAAACAATTGAGGGTTGGGAAAGAAACCAAAATGAAAACTAGTAACAATGATGAACAAATCAGAAATAATCTTTGTTATTGAAGGCCCGTACACGTGATCGTTGTCCTCAAACATTATTTGCCCCCTTCTCCAGTGTCTATGAGATGCTTCAAGGTTTCCCAACAAATGGTTTGTAGCATTGAACAAGCCTTGTCATAGAAAATACCAAAGCACAAAGTATTTTCCACCAAAACTTAAAAAACACGAATAAAGAAATTTAAATATGAATAGAAACAGGATTTTGATCTTTGTTTGTGGAATAATTTTGGATTTCAAGTGTTTTTCAATACCTTTTAAATGAATATCAAGACCTATATATAAACTTCAATGAATCTCTATGAATTGGTGCCAAAATTCAAGTGAAAAGCCACCACAATTCAAATTGCAATGGCCAAAAAAGGGCTAATTAATAGACCCATGTGACCGCATATGGGTATTTAGCCCATGCGGTCACATGGGTCTTTAGCCCATGCGGTTTTCAATACCTTTTAAATGAATATCAATACCTATATATAGACTTCAATGAATCTCTATGAATTGGTGCCAAAATTCAAGTGAAAAGCCACCACAATTCAAATTGCAATGGCCAAAAAAGGGCTAATTAATAGACCCATGCCACTGCATATGGGTATTTAGCCCATG